ATTGGTTCGTTGTCATCTGCTCAACATTGAAATCGAGTCAGATTCTTCTGAAGTGCTAGTATACCCTCTTGATTGCACATCTCTCTCTCTCTCCAAAGTTTCACATCACCAGCCAGACTATACTTGTTGTGGAAGACCGTTTATATAAATCAAGAAAGGAGAGGTCCTAATACTGAACCCTGAGAGATCCCACCAAGACATTTCATAGCCTGAGAGAAATTGAAGTTGTATTTGACCTTAACATATCGAGTTTTTCTATATAAAGTCAGCCAGTTCATTAAAGATGATTTGATACCCAATCGTTTGAGCTTATTGATAAGACATGTATGGTTGACTATCAAAAGCTTTTGAGAAGTCAATGTAGATGATCTCAACCTTCCCGCTTCGGTCAAGGATGGTTGTCCACCTGTCCACAGCAGTCAGCAGGTTGGTTATACAAGAAATACCCTTTATGAAACCGTGCTGTCGAGGTGAAAAGAAGCTTACGGATAACGAGTAGTCGTGTATACATTTACATATCAGGGATTCCATAATTCTCGAAGGTATAGAGAGAAGAGCCACCGGTTGGTATCTCGAAGGTTCGTTGCATCGACCCCGATAACTAGTTCAGAAATTTGAATACACTGCAATAACTCAAAAATTGCCTGTGTTATTGATACAGTTATAATACAGTATTATACGCAAGCATACGAGAACTTGTTGAGTTGTTTTCTGTCTCATAATGATCATGTCAATCACGAGCACCACAGTCGGTTAGGATCATCACAAAGACCACAAAGTTACTGTTTTGGTGTGCAATTCCTTAAATTAAATAATTTTTAGGTAATCGGTAACAATGCTGATCGAATCAGTTGTATTGGACGCTGATAAGCTACAGATACTCGATCACCTGTACACTTGATTTCATTAAACCTTCTGTATCTTCCGCACACTTGGCTGCTAACACTTATAAACTGTGCAATCAAGAATTTCATTGTTTGGCACCATATGAATTCAGAGGCAATGTATAACAATCAAACTGAGCTATGTGATTTTTAAGTTTCGATATTGACTGATGGGTATTGAATGGTTAATGCAAAGTTAAAGACCACTGATAGCTATATATGGAAGATCAACAGTACTTGATTCTACCATCCAGTAGTGATCATCCACTTCCACGGGACCTCGAAGCCGGAACTTTCGATTTTGCGCTCGGATGCCTAACTCCGAGACCTTCAGGTTACTTCAAAGTCGCAATGAAATTCATTAATAGTTAACATGGACCTAGTCCTGACATTGTGTTGTAATAAGTGTCATGGTAAAATATTTTTATCCAAACGCTCACCAGTTTACTTGTGGACGTTTGAGAGGGACGGACGTGTCTGGATTAGCCTTAGTTGTCATGTGCTCAAAGACTCCATTGATTGTACAAGAGTTGGGCTCAAACATTAGGGTTCTCAGTATTTCGATGAGATATCAGACACTCCAACCAACTTGATTTAAATCTCGTGCCTTGTTTGGCTTGCACCTTCTGACTTTTTTGTAAGAATAATCACAGGTCAACTAAAGTCACACGATATAGTTCATCAGGTCCTCGTTTGCGGTGATTTATTGCACCGAACTCCCGATCTAATCTGCAGAAGACTGTTCAAGAGTTTTAAACGTGGTTTGAAACACAGTGCCATAGAGAAAGACAGCATCATAGATAATGAGACCATTGACCAGCTAGACTGAGTCCATTTAGAAGTTAGTCTTGAGCAATCAAACAAACATGCATGGTAATTTTTCCCCTACCTGATACACGACTACACTAGATAGCCGGTTTAATGTTCATGTGAAGACATTTGTGATTCATTTACTTTTGAACACTGTTTGGTACCATTGAGTATCATTTTTTCGACTGGTTATGTTTAAGCGCTACGGCTATATCTAAATCCGTAAGACTAAAAAAGAGATACTATCAATTCTCTGCGCTTTGTCTTAGTGAACACTGGCTACCTAAGAACAGGAAATACGTTAATTTTAACTGTATCACAGCGCTCATCTTACCTGACCTAAGCGGTTATTCCTTTTTCTTAAGTGATTTAGTTTATAAGCCACACAAGGTGACTTGGCTTTCTCTGTTTCGATATCTTCCGTAACTTCCCACGTCGTTACAACTCAAATGGTGCACACGTTTGAGCCAACCCTGAGTGTCAGAATAGTAGATAACAATCAATTGTCTATTGGGCGACAATAAACTGGTTTTCAAAACTTTCTGTCTGTTAGCAACAGTAAAAACCTATGAAATAAATACTTGCCAACACTTACGTGATATTAAATGTCACCAAACGTTTAGATTGTCACAGAGTTTGTACCGATATAAGTATTGAGTACTTTTCATTTTTCTACTTTATATTGTTCCTATACTGTCGCTAAACTTACTCTTATTCATCTGCGATGTATTCTGAGTGCCAAACAGTAGAACTCCTTGTGTGACGAAACATGGACCTATGGTGCCTTTAACTTAATAGAGCTCATTTTATTAGGGTTGTTATATGATCTCATAGTAATATATCTTCAAATTAAACTCTTTATTCCCGTTTCACTGGATTATAATGATACGAAAGATCTTAGTTGAAACATCGAGCCAATGAGGATGTTTGTGTAAGCCATCTATCTAGAACAATCAAGAGTTACAGATTACTAACGCGGCAGAGTATGACTCATCAAGAATATTTCCAAGTGCTATATCGTTTGTGGGAAAATGCAGCGTTGAATATACAGCATATGGAAAGGTAATACTAGTTAACTGTGTGGGTGAGGTAAAAATAATAATAATCACATAGCGACTTGTAACATCCAGCCATATTGTTCAGAACATGTTTTGTTACTGATTTGATCGTGAAGCAGTATCTTATGAATTGTGTACAATTAAAAACTATATAGCCTATAAACAATTACAATGAACAGTTCTTCACACTTTGTATGCGCAAAAGTCGCTCCACTATACTTTCGTTGTGACGATAGTTCTTTATTTTACTCCACATGTACATTCGCTGCCCTTAAGCTCAATAAATATGTCCATCTGAATTGCGTTTGGTCCAGAAGAGTTTCTTGTTACTTTTAATATAATATTTCTGATGTTTGTTTGAAAAGGGAGTGAGTAAAAGACATGAAAAAGGCACTGTGGACAAGTAGCAACAGATAACTGTTCAGGTTAACCGAGGAAACGGACATACAAAGAAGCCATGGCTTACTCTTCACTTAGGTGACCGAAATAGTTCTTGATTGGTCCATAGCCCTTGGAGAAGTTGGAAAATCTTCAGATATCATAAAGCAGGAAAAACGCTGGTTTTGATGGACTGATCTTACACGTCCTTATCAATAGTTTTCCAATATTACCATTTCAATTGACTGGTCACCCTGTCAGATTTTGGAAGCTGCGAAAAACTGAGTTCGATTGGTCTCGAGTGCTAACCATAGACAGAGACAAGCAGACATATATAGGAAGGTGCGTGTGTAAAAAGCTATGGCAAATCATTTATGGACATGCACAATATCACCAACAAGCTTAAAAATACATTTGTGACGGTCGGATAATTACACTCAACAGTTTGAGTCAACCTGCCACATAGATTGGTTTTATGATTGTAAGTTAGATTACTTGTATATTGTGATTAAGTGATTGGAGAGTCACTAACACCTGTGTCAATACCAAGCTTGATCGTCTTGAGTGGAGTAACGGAGCGTTTTGATAATATTTTCGGCTACGAAAGTTTTATCATTTCTGATTATCGACTTTTGACGTAAACCCTATTGGTAGATGCAGACTAAATAACTCAAGTCTGATTCCCTACACATCGCGTTAGAAAAGAAACAAAGACATACGAAGTAGAATTATATTTGACAGAATAGCCAAAAAGTCAAGATAAAAGTTAAATAAAGTGCAGGCTAGCGTCAGCAGGTCTTACAATCTGATAGTAATCAAGTAAGCTTATCATAATTAGCTCTAAAATATTGAAATAATGAGGTTCATCATGAAGATTGTACATTGATGGAACGTGGGTTTACTGACTATATACTGTCTTCACTTTAACCTAATGCTTCGGTTGTTAACTGCGTTTCTTTCGTTCGAAATTATGACATAAGTCTTAAAGCATGAACTCACTATGGCAAAACACTTATAATCACGGTGAAATACCAGTTACGTATGTAAACAAAGACATAAATCCAACAACAGTATTTCCCTAAAGCAACAATAGGAGGGAGGAGACGGGGCTTGCAATAAGAGAGTTCTCAATTAAAGTGTCAATGCATATACAATGTTTTCAGTCTGTTTTCATGTATATTACTTTCTTACCAGCTCTCACTCACTATAATAAGTTGATATTCCCAACATTTTATTTCATTTGTTTCAACTCGTTTGAGAGACTAGTTAACTTCCATACTTCTGGTTCATAAGTTATTTTAGTCTTGCCCTTCCCTTTAACTTCTAGACCACTACGAAACCTTTTTGTGATACTTGGAGTATACTGGCACCGTAAAAGCTATTGAGGATTTGCTTATTGATCAGAATTGAAAGTTTCCTACTGAAGAGAAGAACTAGATATAACCCATAGATATAACCTTTAGTCCAATCACATTATCTTTTGATAATCTACTTTATAACATGACACAGTCTTGCTGTCGTCATGGAGTAGCTAATGTCGATTTCGGCAGTAAATTATCAGTTTGATCATCCAAATTATCCAGTTATTGTATCAAATCGACTATCCTGTCATAAAACTAACTACTATTACTTATCTCATTGTTTAAGGCCCTTAGATATCAACCGACAGGTTGTAGGTTCGAACCCTATCGCTGATTTACTTAATCAGATAGTATCCCTGGTACTTGTTAATCAGATTACATTGTTACGATTAGTTGATAATTTGTATTATAAACTGGATATCTATTTAAATCAACTAACTTTCACGGTCAGCCAAAATCCTATTAAATTATAATTATTTGAATGAATTGTATCGTAAAAAGTGAAATAGGTTGCAACAAGTGTTGTTATTTTCACTTTCATGTGTTTACAATCAGAAATCGAGCAATGTTTGAAACAAAAAAAATGCGAAATTCGTACAAAAATTTCTTCGTATTTTTACATGAAGTAATAAATAGTTTAAATAGAATATATTATTCGCTTTTGTTTTTACAGTCTCCTATTTGAACTTTCTATTTGAAGCCACAAAAAAATATTGTTCTCTTCCGAACGACATTCTCTCAACAGTTTTATGAGTCGACTATAGTTACCTCGAATTATTAACTTAAGTCTACTAGGAACTCCAATGTTTATACTTTAAGTAGGAAAAAAGTGGAAACAGTTACAATGGAAAGAGGAAAAATTAAAAAGATTAGAAAGATTAAATTGTGATTACATAAGTCTTCTTTTAGATCTTTCCTTCGAAGCACTACGAAATAATGAAGTTGTCAAATTGATCGTTGAAAAGTGATTTGCTTTGGTAAATATTTGCGAAATTCTACTAGTTTGTGAATGCTGAAGTAATTTGTCACCGATCTTCTGTACATAATGTTCATTAGTGTTCATGACTGTTTAAATGCACAAAAATAGAACCAAAAACCATTGTAATTGAATATATGAATGCTTCAGGAAAAATGTATTGTAGGACGTGAAGCTTTCTAGAGAAAAGTTTAAATAGGACACTAGTTACTATATTTATTACTTTAATACAAGTTTTGCTTTAGACTTCTGCTTAAAAGTTTAATATATCCACTTTTTATGAAATTTTACTAATGATAAGGGTGATTTGCACACGATTAAATAACTCAACACCATTTTACAAGTGATAGGTGTAGATGGTGAAGATAACTGATGGAGATCGGTGAAGACTGAACTACCTCATGTTATACTTTAAACCCTCTCATTCCGTTAATTAATGTGATAAATCTATGAGAAGAGGGAAAATAATCGTCCTTAATGTTTTTGGATGGTGTTAAACTATTAAGAACTGTATATGGTGATGATGATAAAATGAGGTTATAGGTAGACCTTGATGTCCCGAATGAGTATAAGAATTGACAATCACCAGAACAAGATACTTGTAAAGTGTGGTTATTCACATAGGCGATTATGGTTAGATGAGCGTTTTTCCTGAAGTTTACTAATTATCAGGTTCTACAAGACATTGTTAGAAATGACCTTCAAACCATATTACTTGGTTGGTGAAAATAAACAAGTTTTCTTGTTTACTTATTTGGGGCCCGTGAGATCAGACCGTAAGATAGGGGAGCAGTTGGATTGATCTCGTCCGAGCACTAATTAGCTCACCTAGAACGTCTGTCTATTACCAGTAACCTTCGACTGATCAAGGACACGTCAAGTGTGAGATAACAGCCGAGAGTTCAAAATGGGGGTTCCTACTCTCACTCATCTGATAACCATAACAGAGAAGGCAAACAACTTCTAATTGTGAAGTCGGGATTTACGAATCACTTATATAATAATACAGAGCTAAATTCTGACCGCTTATCAATAGAAGTAAGAAATTACGATATAGGCATAACTACGTTACTAGTGGAAAAACTAAATAATAGGTTCGTTGTAAATTACCAATAATTAGGCGGTGAAATAAACAACAAAAACATACAAGTAGAGTAATGCAAAATTATAATAGTTTTAGTACCTTATAATTATGGGCTAAAATTAAAAATAAAGTTATAATCATTTGGAGTTGATGATCAAGTTTTCTGCCTACGACATGCTTTCAATGGACTGGGATTGTTCTCTCCGTCAGATGATTGTGACAGCTCTGACACCACGTTCCCCTACATACTATATACAGGAGGTTATTAAAACAGTACTACAAAGTGTCAGGAATCTACACAAGAGAGCCTACAGTTTGTCATCACAATTGAAAACTATTCAGGTAGAGTTTGAGTAATCAAGTCTGAACAGATAAAATGCTTATCTTTTTGTCAGAAAGGAAAGGACTAAAACTGAGGATTGAATTATTGTGTAGATCAGTTTTTAGATGTCAACTAATATGGTATCATTAATAATATCGTTCAAAAGCGCATAGTTTGATGCAGATTTTCAGTCTACGGATCTAATAAGTTCTTCATTTTTCAATATCTTAAATTTAACTGATTTTCAATATATCTTGTAGTTTGTACGTAAGTGAGATTTATCACGAAAAATGCTTTTCTCCTCTTGTATGTTTGACAAGGAGGAAGTTTATGCTATCAAGACTTAAGAGATACTAGCAAGTTGTTTCGTGATTGTCTAAAAATGTTTTGGGATAACGTTAAAACTATAATTCAACCATTTCAATTTGATTTATATTCAAGTTAATTTTCAAAGTATTACCAATGATATTCTCAATATACTTATAACTCAATAGTAATAATATTAGCCATAGTGATAGTAGTGATAAACACATTCTGTAACATAATTCTTATGAAAATAGGTTGTGCAATCGCTTTGTTTACTCAACTATCAAAAACCAAACACCGCTGGACAACTGGTTCGTTATAGTATTGATTTACATAGTGTACACTCACAATTCTTCCAGAAATCGAATTCAGAACGTACGGGTCTCGTAATCTGGTCTTTAGAAGCTGTTTAGTCAAAGTTAGTCGTTGGTGTATGTTTTCAAAATGAATAGTCTCCATAAGCCTCTCAACTTTAGCATATCCTTCGTTACAGAGAATAATTCTTGACAATGCAATAAAGTTCTAATTATTCGATGAAACATTAAACTATTGCTGCAATAATTATCTTTTATTTATCATTAAGGACGGAGGTTTTCTACTAGTTCTTTTTCTATGACAGTTTTGTCATAATATGATATATCTGAGCCACAAATTCCAGTATTTTCGACTCTTATTTTCTAAATACAAATGTATCAGCCACTGTGGGAGAATTTTGCAGTAACAAGCTTCGATGTGAGTTGTAAGTTTTTTATGAAAGCAAGTAAGTTGATTTACATATCTAACATACACTGTGGATAACGTAAGACATATCCAAAGTAATAAGATTTCTAAGAACAGTTAGACAACTAAGCAATTAGTAGCCGAGCGGTATGAGTAAGCCATTCAACATGGTCATTTCTGATAAAAAAGATATCGAGAATTTAACCATTTGAGTTATTAATGTTTAACAGATCAGTGATCTGTAGAAGTGAAGATATTCAAACAGCGGATATTATTTAAACAAAGTGTTATGGCTTCCATTGTTTCATTTATCATATCAAAGTATTTTTCATCTTAAAATTTTTTAAATTATAAATTAATTGGATTCACTTGGTGTTGTTTTCTTGTATCTTTCCATTGTTGTTTAGGACCTGAATTGATCAGTCTCTTGTTGGCATATGTGGGTCCTGTGCGGATTGCCTTGATATTGCCTTAAGTCACAAGCTTTATAAGCAAAGATCGATAGTGGCTAGCAGTGGAATCCAGGACGCTCGTTTCGTCCTATTTGGAACTCGCGAACATTAACTCTGAGATGCAGGTACAACCAGCTGACAAGTCCCAAATAGAATGAAACGCGCGTTTTGGATTCCACTGCTAGCCACTATCTATCTTTGCTTATAAATTAATTGGGTTTGAACATTTCTGTTATACTATAATATTATTGTTATCGTTAGATTGATTAAAACAATAATAAGGAGGACAAACCAACATTCAATTTATACATGATAAAGAAAAATTAGTCATCAACAAAATAATGGGCGTATATATATTTGTGTTTAATGTATGTGTATTCATTCGTCAAGTCAATTAATAAGGGAAGAATATTCCAGATTTGTCTATTTATTACATAAATAAAGGGTATTTATGAGTCATTCATAAAAGTGAATAAACAAGGGATTAGAGATAGCAGACTTGTTTTTTGTTTCACTTCGTATATATTACAGTAGTTATATTTAATTTAAATGATTCTTCTTATTCATTTTAAAAAAATGCATCCCAAAAACTGATGTTTTATGAGAATTAATATGACTTTATCTTCAGAAGAATTAATTATTGAGTCACAACTCAAAAGCTGAATGTTTGTCTACAGCACATTGAGAACGAAACTGAAAGTTAGGGGTTCTCTCGGATGAAACGTAACTGTTTGATGTTATACCATTTTTAATAATTTCTCGGCTGATTTGGATTTTATGATAAAAACCTCATTTTTCAAATTTAAAACAAACTCCTATTAAGTAATGAAATAAGGAATTCGATATTACAATTGATTGAATGCTAATGTAGTTGACTAATTGATTTGACAATAGCTTTCGTCGAATATTAAAACTGGTTGGAAGCCAGGAAATGACGAAACAGATATTTTTTCTGGTCTGTAGCTGTTTAACAATAAGACTCTAAGACCAGATTGGATCAAACTCAGAACTTTCAGGTCTTGTATATTTTAGAATTCATTATTGTAATGAACACTTGAAATTTCAAAAGATGGCTAGAGTGATTAAGCTTTAACTTGCTAACAAGGAGACCCGTGGAGTTTAAAAAAAGGTATGAGCTAGAAATCAATAAAATTAAAAAGTAAATTTTTATTTCAGTTTAGTGTTTTATGTTGTAGTATAAAATACGGTTTGTCCTTTAAGTAATCTCCAACACATTTCAATTAATCAATTTATTTCTGTTCGTTACTTACAAACGTAAAATCGATCACTAATAGGTAATTGTATCCATTACGCAAATATTATAATGAGAGAGGATGGTGGCTAACAGTGGAATCCAGAGCGCGTCTTTCATCCTATTTAGGACTCGTCAGCCTAACTTATCTGAGTCTCAGAGTTGATGTTCACTCCGGGAATCAAACCTATTGCCATTCACTTCAAACACCATCGACTTACCAACTTAGCTACTGAGTACAGATAACCATAGATTTATGAAATGGGATGAAGTCTGATTAGCTTGTATTGGCTGTTTAGTAATTCCCATTGATTTTTAAGAACTGAAATTGATCAGTTTCCATATCTGCTTATAATGTTTGTAACTTAAGGCAATATCGAAACGATCCGCACAGGATGTACATATGTTAATAGGAGACTGATCAATTGCAGTGCGAAACATCGGTGGGGAGATTTAAACAAACAATAAAAAATCCATTATATAATTAGTGGTAAAACAGGTCAACCATTTGAAATTTAATATATTACTACATCCACCCCAAAATAATTATAAATCTGTTATTTTGGGCAGAAGTAAATTGAATATTTAATCTTTGATTATTCGAATAAATTTTAAGTAATACAACAAAGGTCATTAAAATAAATTGTTTAAATTTTAGTGGCCCTGTATCTGACTCTAGGTAGATCGTATGATTGATTGTTATTGAATGATTGCTGTCGAAATATACATCCTGACTATTCTCTTATATTATTATTGACTTAATACGCGTTAGTGAATGACTGAATTAAATAAGCCAAATATGAGAATGTGTTTTGAACAGGCAATCATGGAGACGAAACAAAGAGGGGAGAGCGAAGCAGATAGAAGCGAACGAAGAGGAATGACATGCAGTGGAGGAGGCGTGTGAGCCAATTCAGTTTATTCAAACACTGATCGATATTTATAGTCACACAAAAATAAGTTACAGACATGTGATGAGCAAGATAGGAAACGCACATATATACGCTCATATAAAAGCAGTTAAGGTTGACAAGAGAATAACTGATATGGTCAAAATGTGATTCAAGTAGAATGAATAAATTGACTTGTCCAGAAGCTAGGATAAGTTATGTGAGCTTGACATAGTAACCGACACTACAAAATGACATTGTAGAGATTAAAAAATAATTCTCATAATTAACTTGATATTGTTTTATTTCTTGTGTGAAAATAGATTGGATCAAAAACGTTTATCAGTAATCTTGAAAATTCTCAGTTATAAATAATTACATTAGCTGAGATCATGAGTCAATTGAAGGTAGACTACCATGAAAAACCTAGAAGCACTGGATGGCCGTTTCGTCCTATTGTGGGACTCCTCAAAGAAATACAAAGAAATACTTAAGATCATTTACATTTTCATAAATGCTCATACCATATTTTATAAGTAGGAATTTCCATGTTTATTTATTATTATCTGGAGAATATGTGATATATTTCATGTGAATTATGTCTGGCATAATATAAGTGACAATCTTGTGTCAACTTGTTCAACATGATTTCTCGCGAGACTCGAACCGAGGACCTATCGGTCTCGCGCGCGAACACTAAACCTTTAGACCACTGAGCTCGTATCTAACAGTGTTAATGTCCAGCTTCAACTAATTTAACATTTTGTTTGACATTTGAGATGTCAATTATAAAGAAAATATATTTTATTTATCAAATTAAATACAACAATTACATTCATATATAAGTTCTTAAAAAGAGATTTTATTGTAATTGACTAATTACAATAGTGGATGATATAAGCCAATAACATAATTACTTTTCAAATATAATGTCTTGTTTACCATTATTGATGACAGATTAGCTAATTAGGTACTTTGTTTATAAATGATATATCAATGAATAGTGAATAATATCATGTTTATCTAGTTCTTTTATTATTGACCTAATCCATTTCATTAAATTGCAATGTAAATTCTAATGTACGTGACATGACGTTTTGTGCATATGAAACTTATCAGTAAGCTGTAGGTACTATCTAGTAAGATTTTATCTCACTAATATCAAATTCAAGTAAATCACTATCTGATAAATAAATTTTTCATGTAATCAATACTATCAAGAAATAAAAAAAAGCATAAATGAACTTACCTTTTGTTTTATATATATCCAAACGTGTCTTCTCTGTGTATTTATTACATTTATTGTTATCACTATTATTATTATTATTATTATTATTATTATTATTATTATTATGATACTGATAATGATCCATATGAGTACCATTGTCAGTATTATATTTCTCTGAAAGATTACAGTCATTGATATCTTGATTTAAGTTTGGTTGAGAAAATGAAAATAAATTTTCATGTAAACTTCCAGTTTTTAATTTTAATCTATGAATATTGAAATCATCATTCATAATTTGATGAGGAGAAATACAATGTCTACTTGGAGAATAACAGTTGTTAGGTTTATGGGATGAATTTTCAATTCGATTAACTGAATCAATTTGATAATTATATTGAAATGTTGAACGATGCTCTTGACCATCTAATTAAAATACAATAACATAACAACAACATAACACAGTAACGATGATATTTTATAGATACATTAATGATAGAAAACGAATGAATAAAACGTGATTTTGTGAATAGTTTCAAATAATTTAAAATGATCTTGATAGAAAGTTATAAATGTAAAGCAGCTTAAATTAAACTCGTCATTAAGGAGCAATCACTAATTTATATGAGATCGAACTTCGGATGTTAAGATCTTATGGTGAGCACAGCCCCACGAGATCGTTAAATCACAATCAGTATACTATGCTTTTCAACTACAGATAATTTGTGGTATGGTGCAATACCCAGTTGAAATGTTTTTGCTTATGATGATTATTTAACAATTACAATTGGAGAAATCCTGATTAAAACTTATCAATAAAATGTAGTGGTTACTCAGCGTGCATATACTCCTTCTAATGCTGGAATACAGGATTCTTACTTAAGCCTTGATAGAAAACAGCAACAGGTCAGCAGGTGCAATTAAAACCGAGAGGATTAGTCGAAATGGTAATAACTTAATGTTGTATGAATTCTCGACGCTAAACTATAGATACATTTACGCATATACGTTTCTCTTCATATTAAGGTGAGACATCATTTTTGAAAAGTCTTCATATGGATAACTTTATACCTTCTAGTCTAGTTGGAGAAGGGGAGATTTTAAATTGGAAACAGTATGTTTTCAAATCTATTTTTTTAACTAAACGTTTTGAAAATGTTCATGGAGGTGGTACCTTTCTATGCATTTTATTGTAGAATTGAGTGAAATAACAACTAATAATTTTAAACATCACTATCAGAGCAGCATATTTATAATATCCATAAGTCACCATTTCAAAATTTTATAATTATGTGATGGATACAAATTAAGCACCATTGTCAGTTCTCAGTTTTACTGACTAATAAATAACTTACAAGATGTATAACATAAACCCATGCAGTATTGGAAATATTCATTGTTTTCTTTTATAATTCATATATATCTGTGTCTTGTTAGGGATTATTAGTTTCCAGTCAGCAGATTGTTTTGACTTATAATATCCCTTCATAGATGTGCTTTGGGGTTAATGTGTGTAACTACCATTCAGCAGCAATTTAGGCCAATTAAGGCGATTGAACACACATATCCACATACATTCAAGTATTCAGAAATTATGATATAAACGAAGGTAAATCTTATAAGTGTCTGTCTTCACCGATTTTTAGCCAGTGAGTACCATAGCTAATAGGAATATGAGTTCACATCCTTTATAAGGTTCAAGCCAGGAAGCAAAAATCCTCTAACATTTAAACTAGTGAGTTTGGATGCAGTTATTTATGTTCTAAACTATAAGCAATTCAACATTTAGTCATACGGTTCTTGAGTCTTACTGTTTACCACTGTCTCACTGTTGACAGAATTGGGTTCTAAATTACTTACTTAACTACTTACACTCATTAGCCTTCGTCGAGGAACATAGGTCGACCACCACCATTCTCAATCCAACTCTGTCCTGGACAATCCCTTCCAGTTGTTTCCATTTGTTTTTCATCCTCTTCCTGTCTGTTTTCAATTCCCGACGTAGTTTGTCCTTCGGTCTTCATTTTTCGCATTAACACTTGCTTCCTGATGCAATTTAGTGATTTCCATCATGTGCATCTTATCCACTTCCAACGTGTTTTCCTAATTTCCTCTTCAACTCCAAGTTAGTTTGTTCTCTCCCACAGTGGGTTGTTGCTTATGGTATTCAATCATTGGATATTAGGTATCTTGTGTAGACAACTATTTATAAATACTTGTACCAATTTGATGATGGTTGTAGTAGTTCACCAACTTTCAGCTCCGTACCATAGGACTGTTTTGACGTTCATATTGAAGATTGTGACTTTGACATTGGTTCAGAGACAGTTGTTTTGAGTTGCATATATTGTTCAGTTTTATGAATGCTGTCCTTACTTTGACAATCCTCGCCTTTACATCTGCATCAGATCCTCCTCTTTCATCGATGATGTTGTCGAGTTAGGTAAGTGAAAGATTCCATCTGCTCCAGAGTTTTTCCATTAAGTGTGATTGGGTTGGTGTGTTCTGTGTTGCATTTTAGAATGTTTGTGTTTCTCTTGTGCATGTTGAGGCCTACTGCTGCAGAGGCTGCTGCTACCTAACTTTTTTGCTTGCGTTTGCTCGTGTGTATGGGATACAAGGATCAAGTCATCTGCGAAGTTCAGATCTTCCAATTGATTCCGAGCTGTCCATTGTATTCTGTGTTTTTTCTCAGATGTAGAAGTCTTCGTAATCCAGTCAACCACGAGAAAAAATAGAAAGGGAGAGAGTCAGCAGTGTTCTACTTTAGCTATACATAGTTATTACATCAGTATATCTTCTGAATAATCAAATTTTCCACAACTCAATCAACTGAAACAAAATCATATTTAAAGAATATAACTTACTATTTAAAATGTTTTTTAAATATTTTAAATGTTCTGCTGCTTTGAATAAATTATTCATTAATGATCCGTTTTCTTCGCTTAAACAGTACTGAAATATTAGAGAAATGTAAGAAAAGAAAAGAAACTGAGCATTGAAAAAGTACCAATCATTAGTCTTGGAGATGGCATAAGTTTCAATTTTATTTATCGAAGTTTCTATAAATGTAATTTACTCCTCAATATATTGTCAAGACTCGCCTCCTGAGCCACTGTGAATCCACTTGTTCAAGTTTAGACGATAGTTCTCAGAAAATCATTATTACGGCAATTAAAAAATATAAGGCATTGGACAGGGAATAAATTAATTTTTGCGTGTTGTCTATTAGTAACCACTAGTGATGTCATTTTGGAATAAAAAAATCAGTTATTTTCATCCTTGATGGTTGCTGTGAGAACCATTAGATCACTAAATTGAAATCCGGTTGATAGAATATCTTGTTATTCAACTAAAATTATGATAATCATTTTATTTAATTTCGTAGATCCTGCTTTACATCAGTCAGAATCCTAGGGAATTGATTTTTATTGAATAAGTGAATAATAACAATGAGTTATAAGAGTTTTAACTTTCCACTGTTAATTTTGATAATTGAATTTAATCAGCGAACAAAAAAAAATGCAATCTTGACAGTTGATAACAAACATTATGTTTGTTGAAAATATTCGTGGTTTGTAACTCATTTGTTTTGTAGATAAGAAGTTTGTTTATTTTGAATAGATAACGATATCACCTAACACTAGCAAACGGAATGAAAGTCAGAAACATTACAACAGGATAAGCTAAACTATTCCACTGCGCCCCAAACCTGCTGATTAGATATGGAAGACCAGAATCGGTTGAGGGAAATATATATTCCACAAGCAGACTGTATGCACGAACGAACAAGCACACAAATCATACGTATATATATATATATATATATATATATATATATATATATATATAGTTCAAAAATGTCATCGGAAAATGTCACAAACTAGTGTGCTAAAACAGGAAACAGACCAATGATATTTAAGGTTCTTCCAAGTTGGAATTACAAACCGGAAGTAAAAGTGGGCAATTTCAGCGCGAAAATCAGATGTTTACCAAGTGATTCTAGGGGATCTAGCATCCCCAATAAAGTCAATGCATGAATCAATTTATATTGAATGTGAGTCTATATGAACATGAACACTAAAGTGCTGTAAAGTTCTTATTAGGGTAACATGGCGAATTCCTTAGTGAAAGACAAGCCAGAATATAAATCAGTCGTAAGTTCTGAATCATAATGCATCTTAACAAAGTTAAAATAGAATTTCAACAAAAAAAATTATATTAATAAACGTAGAAATAGTAATAAGAGAAGTCATAGGGTTTAAGGCAAAATTAGAAAAGTTTAAAACAGTTTACATTTTACTTATCTATTATTATTATTATTACTGCTTCTTCTTCTTATTATTATCACTACTATTGTTGTTATTATTATTATTAAACTAATAACCAAACTTCAGATTTTATATTAAATTTTAGTGAAAAAATAAATCAAATTATTTTCGAAATGAAAAAATTGTAATTAAACTCTAAATGTAATTTTTAACCCTAACCATCAAGTGTAAATGAGAATTTTGATTGCTTTAAAACCTTCATTTAATCCTAATCAGTAGGTGTCCACTCTCAACGTCACTTTTAGCATCGCTTAAAGGTCGTCCATAAATTATAATCTCAGCAATAAATCATTAAGATTTTTAAAATGAAATGGCAATGGAAGGTTATTCAAAGAGATATAGTCAAATAAAACATCAATGGTTTTCCTAAGAGGTACATTTGCAAATAAAGTGTTCATATCAGATATATATATATATATATATATATATATATATATAATTCTAAATGAATATAATTTCAAAAGTTGAGATCATGAATGAATTGAAGCTAAACCACCATGGAAAACCTGGAAGCAATGAACGGCTGTTTCGTCCCATTCTAGGACTCTTCAGTGGTGAACATCTACGATCCCGATTTCAGGATTCGAACCCAGGACCTGTCAGTCTCGCATGAGAGCACTTAACCACTAGACTACCGATCCAGCATCCAATGGTGTTAATATCTAACTTCAACTAATCTACAAAATTGAGCGACACATCCACCATTGTCATCAGTAAGTTACTATTTCACAACTGACTCGGTTGAACTCCACTGATCACCGCTTCTCATTAAAACTCCAGGATCTACATCTTGATACCAGTCACTAGTGAACATCTGTTGATTAATATCAGAATCGGTTTTATGGAAAATGTTTAATAAAGTAGAACAGATTAAAATGGAAAAAAATCTTTTTAAAAATAATTTTCTACTATAAATCGAATGATAAAACTATTTTGTTATCATTTCATTTATCATAATTTTATATAAATAATTCAATAGACCATTACAAAATGACAGGTAGGATTCAATAATGGATATGTTTTTTGATAAAATAAAAAGAGAACAGCAAATAAATTCCTTTTTTAACTTATAATCTGATATATAGAAAGCATAAAATTAAAGTTTTCGTAGTAGACCGTAAATTATTAACTTTATATTACAATAATTAAAAACATAATATTAACTATTACTGTCTCTGTTTTTTTTTGTTTTTAGGCTGATATACCTAGAATTCAATTTGGATATGATAATCAAATATAGAAAATGATAATAAAGTGTAATTCTATTGTTTAAGTTAACTATATTTATGATTGAAAACAGTTAAAAAAAAACAATCAGTCTCTTTATTTAAGCTAAAATAATTTGATGAAAATATGAAATTGATTTAAAAAATATGGTCTCTTTAGGTTAGATACTTTCAAGGTCAGATGAAAAGGTAATATAACTAAATTTTATTAATAAAAGATTAAATTTTCTAATGATAAATGCTTTGGTAGACTTATAAACAAAGTTGATCAAGTATTGCGAATGATTTAAACTATCTATTTTATTATGATACAGAATGATTTTCTACTCTTTAAGTTTATTGAAGCATATGACACTAAATGATACCAAACATATATTTCAGCCTTCAGTATTCATAACGAATTTATAATGTGTTTATTCATAAAAGACTGATCAATTGCAGTTTTAAACCTCAATGGGAAGATACAAGACAAAGAATACCAAGTGAATTTAAATTCACCCCATCGCACAAGCAAGTGTCTATCAGAACTCAGTAGCTGAGTGGATAACGCGATGGCGTTTGAAGCGATTGGTACAGTGTTTCGAGTCCTAGAGTGAACATCAACTCCCTGAGATGCAGGTACATCCAGCTGACGAGTTCCAAATAGGACGAAACACGCGTCAAACTGGATTTCACTGCTAGCCACTATCCATCATTGCTTACAAACAGCTTGTGAATTAATGCAGTATCGAGGCATACGCACAGTATGCACATATGCCAATAACAGACTGATCAACTGCAGTCTTAAACCTCTATGGAAAGATACAAGCCAAATAATACCAAGTGTTTATTCATTTGTTTATAAATCAGTCTATATGATTGCTTTGAAAGACTTTAGTTATCTTTTTTGTTTCTTAGCTATTAACAAATTCTTTTCTGTAACGATAACATCGAGTACAGTTTTTAAAATCTATATTTCTGTATGATCTTGCTGTTTCCTGATTGGTTTTTAGAACTTTTTCCCCCAATTATTCAATGTTCTTAAGTTATGTTTTATCACTGTATATATAACGTTGTTCTCATTCAGTTTTGTTTGTATTGAACATTGAGTTCTTGCTATACTCCATCCATCTTGTTGGGTTTCAATGTTTAGTGATTATTATTGGAGAATTTCGCCTATCAGTTGGCTCATTATTGAGTTCGTATTCGATCGATCCTGATCGTACGTAACTAACAATTACCGTAGGCCAACCACTTTGTTAGTAAAAATTTACCAAATTTGAAATCTTGTAAAAAAGACGTCTTATTAATGCTTGGTAAAAATGTTTTCATTTCTATTGTTCTCGCTTTTTATTAGATTATCCCAATGAAGAAGATGCAGTAGGTAAGTTACAAAGTTAAAAAATGAACAATATTTTTCTGAAACTTTCAAAAGAGTTGATGTATATTTCTTTGATTAACTCATTCAAGAAAAGTCTAGATCCATATAGAAACTTACTCATAAGTAATTAAGAAAAGTCATTGGATTACAATCTTCACAGTAATAATTCTGAGTCTGAATTTCCAAACATTCAGCTATTCCAGAAGGTCGGGTTTGTAAAACTAGGTATTTATCTAAATTTTTCCATATCCGATTTTATTCGATATGAACTAACCAAAAAATATTTAAAGGTTTCGAATAATGCTCTCGGTTTAAAGGTAGCTTGCAGTTTGACTATTAAATCATACTGTCATCATTACTATACGTTTGTACTATTTAATGTTTACCGGAAAATAAATAGATAAACACCAGAATATCGATCTAGCTTCGTTATATATATATATGGAGAGCGAGATCTCAATAAAGGAAACGCTCATGTCAGTTTTTTAATGAAAACAATTCTTATAATGGAAAAAACAACCGACAGCATATACATAAAAAAATTGTGGTTAACTTCAGTAATAATTGTATAGGAGAGCATACATACATACATATATAAAAGCAACCATACCCTGTAATAAAATAAAAGTAGTTTTAAACTATAGATTTTACTTTAGGAAAATTTCTAGAGCAGTTGAATTCTGTAAGTAAATAATGAAATGAATTATTTGGAATAAATGAAGGTTATTGTTATTATTTTTTGATTATTCTAATGTACTACTAATAAAATTACCAATTTTCTTCTATCTCTCACCTTGCCATAAACCAACAAGCTTTTGATTAGAAAGGATTTCAAGAGAATTTTATGTGTAATGAATGGAAAGGAAACAACAACAACATTGAAAATTGAATAAATGAATTTTCCAAACTAACAACGTCTCAGAACCATTTATTTGAAATAGTATGAAACGTCTATAAAGAAGTAGGTATCATTACCAAGGTTTGACTTGATGATTCCGAATAAAATAAGCAATAAGTAGATTGTTATTAAATGAAACTGTTATATTTGTAATATCTCAAATGAGTAGAAAAATTAGATTTTCTAACATTTCGTGATTTATTGTAAGTTACTTCTTCAGAGAGTATTGGATAGATTGTTATTAAATAAAAATAATATATTTGTATATATCCTAAATGAGTAGACAAAATTTTAACTTGAATTGATTTTAATTTAGTTATTTATTCTCTTAAGAAATAGTTTATCATTAAATCATAAAACATCATCTATAATGAAAATTAATTAACAAATAATCTCAGCGATTGAAATGTAACTAATTCCAGCGTTTCGTCCAGCTAACTTTTTTCAGGGTAATAATCGAAATCATCAAAGACATGATTCACATTTAACTGACACATGTTATCCTCTTTTACAAAATCAACTGCCAAATATGATTGGTTTAACACAGTATAGTTTTGATTGTTAAAAAGCTATATATTTCTTGAATGATTTTGATTATTACCCTGAAGAAGTTCAAACAAGGTAGCTGGACGAAACATTGAACATATTTAAATTTCAATCGCTGAAATTATTTAAAATATAACTTTTACATATAATGAATTCTCTATACTCGGCGTTCAACTTCTATCAAACTATTCGTTCTAATCTTGAAGAATATTCTTATTAATTATCAAATATATTGAAAAAGATAATATAAAACAATCATAAAACTTACCATTTTCCTAGATACTTCACAAAATAATTCATTAATATGTTTAATACGAATAGAAAGATTATTTTTTGTTTTAATTTGATCAAATTCCCAATCATTTATATTTTGTACTTCTTCATTTTTCATCAACTTACATTTTTCTTTATTATTTATTTTCTTTTCAAAATTATTTTCTTCTTTTTTATTGATTATTTCATATTTTGGTAATAAATAATTATTGATTGATTGAATATTTTTTAATTGAATTATTTTATTCGAATTATTAGTTATTGATTCTAATGTAATATGTGATTTATATGAATCACTATCATCAATATTATTATCATTATTATATTGATTTTCTTCTAAATTATAATAATTTTGATTTGTTTCTAATTTTGGTAATAATGTAGGAAACATTGGCAAACGATATGAATGTATCATTGTTGTAATTTGTGATGAATTCATTGTGAAAATATGAGAGTTAGGAGTGAAATTAATTTGATTTTCATATAGTTGTCGATTTTTATTTCTATTAATTGAATGGAAAAAATATAATTTAATTAGAAATGAAGATATAAAATAATTAAAAATATTATCAGAAAGGATTTTTGTGGATATTATAATAATTTTAATAGTTGAAATCATGAGTGAATTTAAGCTAGACCACTATGAAAAACCTAGGAGTACTGGACAGTTATTTTGTCCTATTGTGGGATTCTTCAGCGGTGTGCATCCACTATCCCGCCTGGAAAGATTCGAAACCAGGACCTATCAGTCTCGCGTGTGAACGCTTAACCTCTAAATCACTGAGCCGACCGGCATCCAACGGTGTTAATGTCTAATCTCAACCAATCCACGAAATTGCGCAACTATCTTTCTTCATTGTACTGAGGTAGATATGTGTCTTTACTGGACACGGATAATTAACGATGATAACTACAATCAAACAGAAGATCTTTTGTAATGTAATTTGAAAGTTTCGAAATGTTTTCTTATGATTACCAATAATACAAACATTTTTATGTTTACTTAATGAAAGAAATGCATGAATTATCAATTATCTCTCATGAAGAAGCAATAAATTATTGATTATAGATAGGTCACTGGATGATCTAACTTAATCATTCAATTAATAATACTTAATACTTTATGTTTGTTAGTGATATTAATCAAGTATTTAAACATTGTAAGTATCAGAAGTTTTTTGTTAATTGATTATCTATCAATCATAAAAGAGTCATAGTGTTTATATTAACATTATAAATGAATTATTGTTGAATATTTGACATATATTTCTGACAAATAGATATTTTATGAATATGCCTTAATTGAATGATTTAATTCTATGAAATGAATGAATTTAATTTTACTGAATAAAACGTATTCTAGGAATAAGTTGGTGTATTCAATTAAATAGATTTCTTTTCATAGTTGACTAACTATGTTTGTAGTAAAATGGTAGTTATTTATTTCTTTGCAAATTAATAGATTAAACAGTATAAAGTTATCTTGAAGATAGAAGATTGAAACAGATTATTAATCTATTGACCATTTAATTAAAGTAGAGTTGTTCAGTATATCAATTAAGATTTCCTGTTTATGAAACTAAATGAGTAGTTTTATGTGACAGAAGTCCATCAGAAATGAGGTTATGATGTATAAAATATCAGCTTAAAAAATTTGTTGTATGACATCGTCTAGAGATTCACTAACACCTGGATAGTACCAAATTGTTTCACTCTAGTTTGAAAATCTTTAATAGTGACTGATTCATGAAACCACAAAGGAATAAACTCATTGATGTTCATATTTTGAGGCAGTCACGGTGTTACTAATCATCGCTGAACTAAAAACCAAAGGTCTACACATTCAAATCTAATAATTCTATTTCAGTTATTCATTTCTTATTACGTTGCTGACATTCAAAATTATCAGAATTAACAATAACAGATAAAAATGAATGAAGATAGTCATGCTATCTTGTTTGGCTTTAAATATTTAGCATCATCAGGAGTAAAGATGCTGTGTTAATGTGAGTTTAAATCAATATGATGCCTGGAGAGAATCAATAATTAAAAAGAAGAGATAGATGGTGGATAGCAGTAGAATCAGAGAGGAGCGTTTCGTCCTGTTTGGGACACGTCAGCAGGATGTGCCTGCACCCAAGAGTTGATGTTCACTTTGGGCCTCAAACCAAGTATCGATCGCTTTAATTTCTTATCCACTTAGCTAGGACAAAATGCGCGTTCTGGATTCTACTACTAGTCACCACTCAACTCTGCTTATAATGATTCTGATTTAAGGCAATAACGAAACAATCTATACGGGATGCACACATGTTAATAAGAAACTGATCATTCGCAGTCCGATAGATCAATTGGGAGATTCAAACAACCAATACAGAAATGAATTTAAGAATCAAAAAGGATCATTTATCATCTATTTGGTATTTATTATATTATTTTGCTGGTGGTAAGTAAATAATATTATAATTGAATTACCATAATTGTATTCTACACAAATTCCAAACTTTCTTTGTGACCATGAAGGTGGTAACAAGGAAGAAATCTACGCATATTTCTGATCATTTCAAGAACGCAATGTCAGATCTATGTGTGAAACATAAAATTAAATGTTCAAACAGTAGAATGAATTTTTATGTATTTCTATGAACAATGTATGTGAAACTGCGACGTATGAGACATTTGAGCATAGGACTCATTATTCACGTGTTAGGCAGGTAGAAGCACATAGTAGGTTGCCTTAGACTTATGATTCGTATCAGCTGACATTCATTTTGAAGATGTATCTATTATCTTGAGGGAACCAATGATCTTTCATAAGTTTACCAACCTATGCATTCAGAAACTCTACTACTGAGCTTTTTAACACTCCATTTATCTCACGTGAGACTGTAGTGGCAAACATCATGTCGTATAATCTCTGGTTGTAGACACATCCATTGATTAAATTTACCGTAGTGGATAAGTTCATGTTTAACATTGAAATCATGAACCGATCAGTGCTACACCACCATTAAAATTTGGAAGCACTGGACGGTCGTACAGGACTCCTCAGCAGGACACGTCAACGATCCTGCACGCAGGACTTGAATCCATGGCCTTTGATCTAACGTGAAAACACTTAACTAATAAACCTTAGAACCGGCCAGGATCGACTGTGTTAATGTTCACCTTGAACACATCCATAATATTACGCGACTATATCAAATTGCCTTCTGCGGGTAACTGCCTCATACCCGACAGGATTGAACTCCATTTGTTGAGGTTTCTCACTGAAACTTGATAAATTACCTTTCAAAGCTAGTCACTAATGAGCACATGTTTATCACTGCTTTTAGCATAAACAATATAAATCACTTTTTATTTACAACCGTTGAATAAAAACTTTTGATCAGCCAGGAATAAAATTCAACTTTAGAAACTGAAATGAATCTAATTGATTGTGAGCTTTGGTGGTTCATTCACTAAACATGTAAAACAGATGTTTTTCGTTAAATTATGTATTAAAACAATTGTTATAAGGATAACAAGATCATCTAACCATAGTTTACACTTGAATAATCTAGATTTTACTGACTCAACACTACGATTACTGTTCAACAGCCATTTTGTACACATTCGTATATATATTGATACAATTGTTTGATCAAAGTCATTAGGTACACAATAACTAACAAAATATAATCTTCCTTATCAGTACTCTTCTTTCTGATTGCGAAAAAACTGTCTCCAGAATAAGTGATCTGAACTGTTTATCAGTGAAATACAAAAAATATATACTGACTACCTTCTTCGCATAACATTGGTGTAAAGGAATACTTTCATTTATTATATTTTCTGCCGATGATTTTTTAAGAGCTCAAAATTCATTTTAAGATCACAACTTATATAGTGGGTGTACAAGACTAGTGAATCACACATTAATGGTTTTTTGGTTGACATTTACTTAAGATGTTAATTATTCTCAAACGTGTTAAATCACTAATTATAATCAGAGAGGTGTTTTGTGGATATCATAGTAACTTAATAGTTAAGTTCTTGAAACAGGTGAAGCTAGACCACAATGGAAATCCTGGAAAAACTGGTCCTGGGTTCGAATCTCGCGAGGCGGGATCGTAGATGAACAACGCTGAAGTCCCATACTAGGACGAAACGGCGTTCCATTGCTTCCAGGTTTTACATGGTGGTTTAAGTTCAACTGGCTCATGAATTCAAATAATAAATCAATAGTTGTTTAAAAACTTTCATTGAACTAAAAACATAGATGTATGGACACGGAATATCCCATTTTTTTCAATTATTCTTATATATTTCGGATAGTTAATTGTTTAAAATAATGATTCAAGGGTATAATCAAGTTCAATGTAAATGCATCTTTTAGGATAACAATATATAAATAGTTAATAACAAAAATACTTTTGTCAATGTTTAATTGTTTAGAATCTAATGTTAACTTAATATTTTAATTATTGACTTTCATTTTTTTAGTTTTTTTTACGAACTGATTTTGTAAGGTATTTAACAGAGGTTATCAAAGGAAACCATATGTTTTTCTTGACTGGATCATTTAATGTAAACTTTCAAAAAAACTGTACATATGCTATTTTATTAATTACACGCAATAGTTATTTGAACACTGAAGAATCAGTTTGTCGAATATCCGCTTGGTGGTGTACAGAGATACAAAAACGTCATAAAGACCATCATCTACTGCCAAAATCAGTCAGAGATAATCATATGATAGATTAATATATAATCCATACGATTGGAAACTAGTTTGCGCGATTAAGAAGAATTTTGTGAATTAGATAGGTTTTTATACATGTCATACTAAAATATATCACACTGAACATAAATAATCATAGTTGATTAACATACATTAAAGAGAATAGATATCTTAGTTAGTATATGAACGCGTAAACTGAACCTAAACTTCCAAATATTGTTTAAAATAAACTTGAAAAGTGTAATTACAAATTTTCAGTCCATGAAGTCTTTCAATGAGTTTTAAACCTTCGAAGAAACAAATTTTTAGTGTTTATCAGTTCTTCATAGTCATTTAATAATTCATGATAATTGTCAATATGAGGTTATGAAGTTTGTAGAATTTCCAAAAATTAAAATCGCTGATTGATCTAAGTTAGACCACTAATGTGAACTTAGAAGAACTAGAGCACCTGTTTGTTCTAGTGTAGCACTCCTCAAGAGTGCACTTCCATCACCGCATCCAGATTTCTGATCAGCTTGGGTCTGACTGCATCGAGAGATACTATTATTAACGTAATAGTTAGTGGTATCAGTTAGACAAATACAAATAAGCCGAATTAGACTCACTTTTATATCGATTTAGTGTTTTATACTTTACACCAATAAAATGAGGTTAAAGTACCAAGAATAATAATTCAAAGTTGAAAATAGTTACATGACAACTTGTAATAATAATTACTAGGAAAATAGGTAAAAAATAATAGGAGGAAATAATCTGATAAAAAGGTATGAAATATTG